AGAGAGAGAGAGAGAGAGAGAGAGAGATGGCTCACCGTTCTGATTCTTGGAAGAAAAGCTCCTGATGGTCAACGACGGCGACTTGCGCTGCACTACGGTCACCGTGCTCACCAGTTTCTCCGTCGGTTTCTCCAGTTTTCTCGGCTCTCCCTTCTCTACGTCCACCTGGTGTAACGCGGTATCACGCGGAGGCGTCTTGGCCTCACACTCAAACCTCTCCTGCCCCTTCCTCGCGATCCTCGACGGACTGTCCGAGAGACTAGGCGACTCCTGCGACGATTGGCTCTGCGATCGGCTGCTGTCACCACCTTCGGGCGTGTGCCTCGGCTCTTGCTCCGTCGACAGACGAAATTTGTTCAACGACAGCTTGCGTACCAAAGAGTGCGACTTTTTCTTCTTCTTCTTCAAGGACGTTGACGGACTAGCGCCAGCCTTGCGATCATCGTCCTCCTCCGCTGGGCTCCGCTTTCGACCCGTTTCTGCCACGTCAGATGGAGAGACAGAGAGAGAGAGAGAGAGAGAGAGGATTTCTGGTCAATTTTCGTGGATTCTTCCGAGATTCGTTTTAATATTCGAGGGTTTTAATATAGAATTCAATGGGGTTTCTTAGTGAGCGATAGACTTATGGTTGAGTTATGTACATAGGTTGAATTGGTGGTTGTTAGATTAGAAACTTGTATGCAAATTTTTATAGTTATTTCATAGTTAATTGTTTTAGAGATTACTGGAACTACTAAAATAGACAAAACGACCAAATTAAAATTTTATACATTTGTAATAGTGTATATTTCAGAGATCCGAATGAGTTTTGCCTGTCCTCTTTGTTGTATTCTGAATCTTTTCTCTATTCCTTTCATTTTCGTTTCTCTACCACAAATTTTACACTTCGATTAGGCTGCTCTAGTGTTAAGATGGAGCTCGATGAGATGTGAAAGTCAAGTGTTTCTTGGCGAGTGATAGATTTATGATTGAGTTTTTGAAATTACGCGTGTTGAATTGATAATTATTATTACTCGCGTCTCACAGTGATCACGTTTTATTACAAGCATGCTGGAACGCAAAGGTTAATGATTGAAATCGTGGCCGCACAGAAGTTATATAAATTGATATTGATCACGTTATAATTAACGAGACCTCGATAGCTCTCGATAATTGCCAGTGGAGCTATTAAGACGATTAACATTTCAAAGAATTCGTTCATAAATTGAGAGAAACGATTGTTCGACCTGTCGATCGTTCTACGTGTCAAGTACCACAACGATTGAAATAATATTGATTCACGAAAGACGTGACCGATCTAAATGAAGATGGAGGAAATCTATGATATAAGATGATTTCAACTCAAAAATCTGGGTTATCCTTCGTTTCGAAGTTATCTTCTCGTTATTTCAGATGATCTCATTCGCCAAGTTAATTATTCCAAACTGAAAGTAAATTCTATTAAAAGATAAGTTCTACTGTAAAGGATTATTAATTGAGGAGATATAAAGTTTTCTTACTAATGAGTCGATCATCGATTAAAAGGAGAAATTCAAATTGATCGATTAAAAAGAATTAAGAGGATAAATTGAATAAGATTGTACTATCAATCTATAGATCTGTAAAAAAGCCTCAGAATCACCACCACCAAATTGATCTTATTATTAAATACGAATGCAAATGTTTGAGGTGATTTTGATTTACATTGAGATAGAGTGATCTCATCAGATTGACGATAACGATTCTGAAGGATCTAAATTAACCTTTGAAGAAGTAAGAAAAAAAGAATGAAACGATCAACCTAATTTAACATCACAGTTCAGGAATGAATATCCTTCGTTTGAGATGCTAATGAGAAAACGAAACTCAGTTAGTCTCTAAAGCTACCGCGAAAATAAATTTTTTGCAGATCGATGCAAATTAAAATAGGATTATTTAAGAATTAAAATTAAGAATTTAACCAAGATGTTTTTATTTCTATTGCAATAATTTCGAGAGATTACTTGAATTCGAAATTTAATTCATTAATTACACAAAGGTATTCGACTGTTAAAAACTTTCAAATGCCAAGTTCTAATCGGAAATCGAAACTTCTATCTGCTACATATCTACCTAAATAATCTTTAATTTATCCAAATCCGCTAAATACTCATTCTATCTAAGCTATAATCAAACATTCTGTAATCTATCTAAACCACAGCTTTGTGAAATAAAAATCACATTCCTAAAAAAAAACAACCCTCCAAGTAACGATCAAAACCAACCAAAGAAAAGAGAAAGAAAAATATATAACTAAACATTCTTTAACTTATCTGAGCCAAAACTTTGTGAAACAAAACAACCCTCCAACGATCAAAACCAGCCAAAGAAAAGAAGAAACCTCAGAACATAGAACGACAGTTCTAACTAAAAAGAAGAACCGATCGCAAACTCAATAAAATAAAACCTTTTTCCTCGACATCCGGCTCAGGCTCGGCAGCCGGCTCGTCCAGCTGCCTGTTCTTCCTCCTGATCTTGAACAGGCCTCCCTCCTTGCGGAAACTGCTCTTTAAAGCGTCGAACCTTCCCCTTTTCTTGTCATCGGTCGCCGCTGGATCATTCGTGCCGACGTTCCTCGTCGTCCCGGCGCTGGTCACCGTGTCCAAACTCGAGCTGCTGTCATCAACGGTGGTCACGTACTCGCCGGAAGTGCTGCACGCGAGCCTGTTCCGCTCCTCTTCGGACGAGGAGCGCGCGATCACCGTGTCCGGCGAGCTTCCGCCCTCGTTTGTGCTCTCGTTACGATCCATCCTCACGTGGAAAGGGGCTTGGGAGGGGTGGGAGCGCAGGGCGAAGAAAGCGTGTCACGTACAGGTGTGCGCGCGCTTGCGTAGCACACAAGCGAACTCGTCAAACCGACGATGATTTAAGGATGCGCGAGAGATGCACACGGGGTCTAACGGCGATGTTTTCGCGTCCAACTGTGTGTGGGGCACGAGCCACAGTCCACGGGCTGGCTTCCTACGGCCGACGCGGAAACCTTAGAACAACCGCCTTTCTAAGTCCGATCTGGCCGGCCACCGGATAATCCGACACGTTTCCCCCTCCGTTTTCTATTCTCTATTTTTTTCATATGTGTCGCCTCTGTTCTCCGCTGGCGAGCAAACGCGAAGTTGCTGCTCTAGTGGGGAGTTGAAAGTGGGAGAGAGAGAGAGAGAGGGATGTGATTTTGTCAACCCTCTGTAATTGGAATTTTGATTGCTTAGGAGAGAGAGAGATTATTGATTAATTGTTTTATCAACTCCCTATGATTGGAGTTTTGTTCATTTAGGGGAGAGAAAGATTATTGGCCAATTGCTTGGCCATTAATTTTGTCAACCCTCTACAATTGCGATTTCGATTAATTATTTATTGATCAATTGTTTCAGTAACCCTTTCTATAGAGTAGGGAAGGGAAATTCATTCATTTAAGGAAGAAGGAGATTATTAATCAATTGTTTTCTTGTTAATTTTATCAACCGTCTGTAATTAGAATTTTGCTGAAGGAGATTATTGTTATTTGTTTTTTTAATTTTCATCTATCGATGACACGCAATGACGAAGCAACAAGTATTTTTCATACGTAAACATATGGATATGTAACTTTCAAATTGAAGGATGTCAGAGAGCGTTCACAGGTGTCCAACATTTTGTAATTCACAATAAATAATTAATAACGCCTTGAGCGTTTCACGATTTGCAACGAATAAACATGATTCGTAAAATTTTCAAATTCTATGAATTTCTAAGTTCCTTATATATAGTTCATAATATTTATTAGATCAAATTTATTCAACACTGATCCTATGCGTGCATCAAAAAACATGACACGCTGTAGAAAAAAAGATACTGTGCATCATATACGATACACGGGACAGTGAACGTGTTAAGATTAAATTAAAGAGATTCATTTGAACTGTATTTTATATTGGAATAATTTAAAATTAAATAATTTAAAATTATTCAAGCACGTATACACGGTAAAGCGTAAATACGTAATATGCAATTATATATTGTAGGGAATTATGTATAGGAAGAAAGAAGAGTATTTTTGAGTGGGACCAAAAAATTATAAGTCAGATCATACTGTTTGCATTAGAAAGTACTTCTATCACGTTTTTATAATAGAACAAAATTCTTTTTCAACAAAACTCCATTTGTTGAAATTTTAGTCAGTGTCTGACTATATACCGACTGATTCTACTTATCGGAGCATCAACGACTCCTGCCAATTGAGTCTAATAAAATATTGCGATGAATTGCAATTCTCTTTCATTACAAATAAATCGATAGAAGAAATATCGAACAGATAATATTCGTTAATTAGTTATTTGTTGTTTTTATGACAAACTGTGACACATAAATGTAGCGTATAATTTTTATGTCCTTCCTCTCTGTCACTTGCACGGGTCACACCCATGGGAGACACGAGTGCCAATAGAAAGGGATACATAGGTTCGATAGACCGTAGATTCGAATAGGTATCAGGGATAGATAGCCGATGAAATGAAGAAGCCTGGGAGTTAGAGGATGGAGTAGTATTCGCGGTTTATTTCCTAAGCATAGTGGTTGCGTTTCTGCGTTTTCTCCGGCACACTCCACGAGAGGCCATTGATTGATAATTATGTACAAAATGTATCTTTGCGTTTCCAAAAAAATTCTCAGTACTTAGAATTAATATTAATTATATAACAGTACTTCAAATTACATGTGTATCATTGCAGCGGGATTTCAGTTTATCAATAATAATAATCATTAATATCGCACTGTCGTTATAATATAATAAATTACAATCAGTCATTAATATGTAATTTGTTACAGTCAATCAATTATACTATCGCAATTGCTTTCAATTGCATGTAATTTATCATTGTAAAATATTAAATTTTAGAAATTTCCAAATTCTACATAATATATACTAATAACAGAAATCTCTATTTCACGTGCACACTTACGATTAATAAATCGTTAATTAATTAAAAGTTAAATATTTTAATTAAAAGTTAAATATTATACAGTGATAGTATTGTATAGTTAAATAGTAAATAGTAGTTAAATATTCGTGTAGTTTTTTACACTGTTCGAGAAGCTGAACGAAGTTCAAAAGAAAAAAAAAAAATCACAAAAGTGAAGTTAACGGTTCTGAGGGATACTTGAACTCTCTATAAAATTACCGAAAACAGAAGCCAACGGAAATCTCCTCCTTCGCAAAGCGATAAACGAAATTCCATTTACAGATTCACGAGCCACTTTCGTCGATTCTTCGAAAGCTCAGCAGCGAGAGTCTTGCTCAGATCCTAGATCATTCTCCATAGTCCGTACTTCCCCCCGTTCAAGCATGCGCAAACGACGAGCGCGCGTCGCTTCTAAAAAACGGAGAATAATACAACGAGACAGTAATTCACTGCGTAAAACCGAAAGACCGGAAGCACCAGTTCTAGGCGACGAAAATCGTCCACGTTTCCCGCGAGGGGGGAACGACGTCGAGGTAGGAAAATCGGGAGGA